GGGCGACAGGGCTGCCCCCGCGTGTGGCGGCTGCATTGGCCGCCGCGACGTCAATCCCCATCGGGTCCATGGGAAAGTGGATCGACTCGCTGTGGAAGAAGTTTGAGGATGCTTTAAAGGGGCAGAAGGAGGTGATAAGCTCAATGCAGGTTGGGACTTATGTTGCCATCAAGGACTTGGACAGTATCCGGGTTTTGATCGACCGGTTGGAGGTCGAAATCGAGTCATTTCTCCGAAATGCAGAGTTCGTGGTCGAGGAGGAAGAGGAAGAAGCTGTCAGGGTTGGGATTCAAGAGATTAAGAAGAAGTTGGGAGGGTTTATGAAGAATGTTGAGGAATTGGGTGTTCAGGCTGATATTTGTAGCCGTGATATTCGGAGGGCTAGGACTGTTGTTCTTCAGAGGATCATCAAGAATCCCAACAACTGAAAACTTTGGTCAGATCACCAAAAAATTTGTTTAAATCAATCTCTGGTACCAAAAGACTTCCTTTTCTAGTCCAATTTGTTGATGCTTCTTGTTTTGATATATGTTCTAATTTATGGGGTGAGATTTGTTGCAGCAAATCCATACAGTTTGGAATCGTGTTTTTTAAGGAATTAATGTTTAAAGATTGGTATCAGAACGACATTGATTTGCTAGATTGACAACATTATTGTGTTATTATATCTCATTTCGTGCTTCAATTTGCCTAGCTAGAAAGAGTAAAAACTAGACATTTTATTTTTCAAGAATTGCAACTAGATTTATTAATTCCTTGCAAAACATGGGACAGTTATGACTTCCTTATCAATAGAGACAAGTGAAAACATGCTTGTTTGGACTTTTTAACTATTTTGTCAATCTAGTATCATGATTGGATACAAGAATTGCTGTCCAACTAATGAGCTTTAGCTGTTGCTCTATCATTGTCCATTATTCCACGACTTTTCAGCTAAAATCTCTCTCTGGCTTGATTTTCTTCCCTTTTTGCCCATGCTCATGGAAGTAGAATTTTGAGCAATTAAAAAAGTTTCTTTTTGTTTCAACATTGGTCCACCGGTAAGTGACGAAGAATTTAGAGATTAAGCTTAAAGCCTTGTTGAGAATAAGTGCCCAAATGCTCTTCTCAGGTATGGCTCTCCAATGTTCTTTCATCAGAACCCAAATTCACATAGAATAGAAGTTCCAAAGCAGAATTCTTTGATACAGTATCAAATGTACCTTATTAGGAGACGTCGATTTGAATTGTCAAATTTGATTCGATCCTTATACAGAAATACATACCATCATAATGATCGTTTTCCTACATTATCATATAAATTATAGTATAACTCTCCTTTTGAGTAAATCCAATGAAGCATGATTGAGACTAAACACGTAGAAAAAAGTAAGGTCCAAAAAATAATTGTTGGCCAAAAAACGTGTTTTCTTTTTTCCCTAACCATTAAAAAAGCGTGTAATTTGAAGGTTCAAAAGGGTAATCAAATAATTGAACTATTGAAGATTCTTCATGATTGGCTGAAAATGGGGGAGATAACAGGAGTTTGGAATTCCAAGTAAGATTAAAGAAACACAGAAGCAATGAGAGCATATTAGTTGAAGCTTTTACGCCAAGTGATTTCCAGGAATAGTAAAATATTTGTGGGAACTATGAAGAAAGCAAGGTAACAACACAATAACTTGAGGCATTCTAGTGGTTAGCTTGTGATACGAAGTCATTTTCCTTTTGACTTCTCATTCTCAACAACCCAATTTGGGACTAACAATCACGCAAAGTGTTGGTTTGATGTCATTAAGATAAATACATAGTGGCTTCTGCTTTCTTTTAGCATATTCAAAATTAGCATCTCCTGTTTCAGAAAAAGATTACCTGTTACAATCACACTGATTTCTCACTTCTAGTCCTCTCACCTTTTCATGCATTTTTATTTGCTTTCTACAAAAGATCTCGATTACTTTCAGTTAAAATTTTAAATCGTCAACTCTTTATTACCTTATCTTAAACCATCGTATTTGATTTGTTTTTTTTTTTTTTTTTTGGCATTATGTGACACTTTAAAATGGTATTTTTCAAATAATGCTATATCATCATGACGTACCACAGTTTTATTTTTTATTTTTTATGAATTAATTGAGGAAAAAATTGTTTCTATATAATATTTCCCACATAGATTCTATTTTGCATGTCCAACCAAAAATAATACTTGACAAAATTATTTATAACAACAATTGATGTAAAAATAATTTAAACACAGTTCGTTACAACGTACAAAGTGCAAAGCCAAAAACAACTGCGTTGGATCGGTTAGCTAACCGTTTCACGAGCAGTCAAAAGGAAAGAGAAATTATTAACAAACATAGCTATGGCGGTGTTGCATAATGGCAACACCACAAAGAAGCTACATATGCAATCGACAGGTGGTACAACTACAAGGAAGGAAAACGGCCATAAATCATGTCTTTCACAAAACTCTATTCTGTTCGGTTCTTTGTTCACGTTGTTTATCATTTCAAAAGAGAAACCAAAACAAATAGAAAACTTTGAAGTTTCACGTAAATAAAGCTTAAAGGACAATGGTCATAGAGCTAGAAAATCATTACTTAAATATTGTCACCCCGCGGATGCAAAGAGAAACCAAAACAAATAGAAAACTTTGAAGTTTCACGTAAATAAAGCTTAAAGGACACTGGTCATAGAGCTAGAAAATCATTACTTAAATATTGTCACCCCGCGGATGACTAAGCGCCCATTTGAGCAGAGTATTTGAATCATAATTTGAGTTTTGATTTAAATTTTTTGTGAGAGAACTATTGACGGGAATTTGTTTAATTCAAATTTTTTGTTTGAGAAAAACATTAAAACAGAATAATGATTTGAGTTTTAAATATATGTACCAAATAACTCCTAAATTAATCCACTAAGCTGCTTGGTTCTTCCCCGAGAAATATTACTATACATTTATGTTTTAGTGGGGAATCAGTTTCATCGCATAATATTTTTGGGTAATTTGGTCCAAACTAACTAGAGGGTTTCCACAATGTTCAGAGAATTTTCTACGGTAGGATCTGTCTTTTTAACAGTCTGAACCTGTGTGCATAGATTATACCGTTAAAAATTGATTAGCTAAATAACAGCACCTATTGGTAGTGCAAAAGAACAATTCCTATCAAAGAAATTTCCTTATTAAATTCGTGAATTGGTTGTATCTTAAAAGTAATTTGTTAGTTAAGTATCTGATTAGTTAGTCAACTCTTTTTAAGTGGGAACAAATAACACTTTAATGAAAGCAATTTCTTACGCCTCAAAAAACAACACTTTTTTCCCTGCCCAAACAGTTTTTTCTTTTCTGTTTCCATAATTATCTTCAACAATTATTTTAGAGGTGCGTTATAAAAACATGTCACCAGTAACAAAATAGCAAAGTTAAACAGTTAACCGTGCCATTGATAATTCATCACGTGTGAAGCAAAATTTTTGGCTGTTATGGACTTCAGAACCACATTGGAAATACAGATACAAGGGACCTAGGATGATTTGCTTTTAGACAAAGCTTTTACAAGGTCAACGGGCAATGGTCTTATGTTGAAATAGGTAGCATATGTGAAATATACACAGACCAAACACATAAAGATTTTAAACCAGATTGAGGAGAAAAAAGTGCAGTAAGTAAATATACCCGTCAGGAGAATTACTGCCCCAAAATTAACAAGGCACTTTGTGGTAGAGAGTTCTTTTTCCGTTCCTTGGTCGGGGAAATGGCACCGAGAATGAAAATCGGAGAGCATCTGGTCTTTGAGATGGAATCTATTGATTAACCACGTATTGACCTCTTCTTCAGAGGTCGGTATACTGTCAACGGTTATGCGTTGAACATGGATGTGAACTTCAGACGGAGCCACCCCAAGAACATTATCCATGAAAGTTGGGCAGCAATGCTTGTAAGCAATAGTGACATCATAAACTGCAGTAAGTACAATAGTAACTTAGTGCGATCTGGAAGATAAGTTAAAAAGATACAACGAAAAGTAAATGAGCTTGCTGCACAATATCACCTGTTATAGGTTTGGTTAACACCACAAATAAGGCAGGTTATGTTAATATGCATGCATGATATTGTACTAAATTTGTAATGATAGTAGTGGAACATGTGCAAAAAATGACCTAAGTCGCAAAATAACAAAAATCCAAGGATTTGGGAGATGTGCATTAGGCAAAGAAGATTATCAGTGAACTTTGTTTTTATTTCAAATATTCCTGAAGAATATGTATCAACGAAGAAGTTGCTTGTATTATTAGATCACTAAAGTTGTCGATGGAAAATATGGTTGTACTCAGAAAAGTTCCGGTCATAGTAATAGCTCATGAAAATTTAGTCAAAGCTATTGCAAGACATGCAAGTTTGTTTCAAAAGCCAATGGAAATGTAAAACAAGGGGCATTATGCAATAAAATGCTTGAGCTACATTCCGTGAAAAGAGACAGATACCTGCATCAAGAGATCCTCTCAAACATTCCAAACAGGCGAAAAAGCCCTTTGTTTTTGGAAGTAGGACATGATTTAGGATAGGAAGGCCATTTTCTGCAGCATATTTCTGGCTGCGGATGCACTTCTGCTCACTGCACAAAGGAGTCAATTGAATAAAAGAACTTCAAACAGCTTTATAGATTAGAGAAAGAAAAATTCAATATCAATACACACTACGTTTGATGGAAATAGGATCCAAGCATCATAAGGCATTAAATTTCGGAAAGTAAAAGGTCTATACTTCAATCTCCTATTTTTTAATATTTTGTCACTTCTGTTTTCTTTTCATAAAAAAAATAATTCCTGGATAGGATATGGTCAATCAGCCAACAATCTGCTCATAGTATGAAAAACCTTCTTGATTCTTGCAGACAGGCTTTTCAAGATCTTACTACACTTTCTTCACATAGGGAAAAAAGAAGAAGAAGAAGAACAAAGAATGGAATTATGTAGTAAGAGAAATTTACGTGTAGTCTGTGCCTTCTGGGAAAAGAGCAAGCCAGAGGGGATCTCGGGGATCCTTAAACGTTGAAAGCATCTGGCGCATAATAGATTCATCAACTTCCCACTTTCTCGCCACGGGGATGAACTCCAATATCTGGAATGACCAACCAAATAAAGGTAGTTTCATCAAACTGCTCTTAAGGACATACTTTATATAACCGATTCTTCCCTTCCGCAATGCTAGGTCCCACAAGTACATCCAATCAACTTCAGTTCTATGGTTTGCAATAATCAAAACGCGTTCCCTAGGAGGAAGTGTTTCTCCTGAAAAAATGACTTTGGTCATGTTTATCTTTTCAAAAAGGAAAGGCCACAAAGCTAACCAAGTACCAAAGAAGAACGATGTCACTTTTCTGCTGTAATATATGCTGAGAAACCGAATTATTACAGCACTCACAAAGCCAAAATACACTAACATCATGAAGGCGGTCAAAAGAAGCACAAGTAGACACAAGAGACCCCTAACCATTCTAAGTGGAGTCATCGTAGAACAATTCTTTCCACCATTTGTAGCCCTCTGAACTTCCATATCAACTAAAAGCTCAACTACCCACAACTGCGTGTTAAAGATAGCGAAGACACACGGGGGGATGATCAGGCCCAAGTCCAAAATTCAAATACTCACTAGTTATGACTTTTGAAGAGAGAAAGTTCGATAAACAAGCTGATAGAAGCACAGCGAGAGAAGTTACTCCTACAAGATCTAGCAGCAATAATGAAACTACAAGATAGAATCAGGAAAAAAAAAAATGATGACGAGATTTGCAACTGCATCATAACATGAAATTCATGTTAAGAAGTCCTTATAGAAGCCAGAGTCAGGACAATGTTACGTATAACCTGCATTTAAACATGCCAAAAAAAGACTCAGCAATTTCATTCATCACCCTAAATGAGTGAAAGAGAAAAATCAGACCAATAAACTTCTGAATCACATCCAAGTCCAAATTAAAGAGCCAAGGAAAAAGGAGGAAAGGAAAACACTCGAGACTGGATCTGGTTTCTCAATGTTTAGAATCCCAAGACATGGACATAATCCCAATCTAATTCATTTACCGTTGCAAGTAAACACCATTTTTTTTTTCTATTGATACTTCCAATCTAAAAGTCAAGTTAGTCTATAAGCAATCAACTGCATAAATACAAAAATTTGACTATAAAACTCAAAATTGTGCATATTCCTAAAATGGGTGCCAAAAATACTTTCTTACTGACTCGATCTGTCTTAAATCTAAAAAATACTTTCTTACTAACTCGATCTGTCTTAAATCTAAAAAATACTTTCTTACTAACTCGATCTGTCTTAAATCTAACTTAAAGATCATATTGTCACAAAGTAAGAAGCTACGAACATTTTTGAAGTACATCAACCTAGATCTGAATGCTTAAAAAAAAAAAAAAAAAAAGAACCCAAAAACCAAAAACCAAAAACCTCCACAAACCTCGGTTAGTTGCCGGGGAAACTGAGAGAACTTAAGTGGGCAACAAGAAAAACAAGCAACAAAAGGGTTTCCTCTATTTTCAAACAAGAAAAAAATAACAAGAAGACGAACAGAAATCTGGAGTGAGCTATGTAAAAATTCAAAAGTTCCAAACTTGGTCAATGTTCTGGCAGTTTCTCGGAAACCAAAGTGAGGTTGTACAGATGAAGAGAAAATACCAATAATAACAATAACAAAAATAATGGCAAAAAAAATACAGGTTAGAGAAAAAGGTTGTACCTTCAGTGTGTTTGGGGCATACGAAGAAACAATGGCGGAAAATTCGTCTCAACTCTGTACTCAGGACTCAGGACTCAGGACTCAGGAGCTACAGAAATTTAGTGGGAGATGATTAGGAAATAAGGCTCACAAGTGCCTCAAATTACGAGTTCTGCCAACCTCTCGTGAGTGACGACTGAAGAGTGATGAAAGACTTTTGGATTTTTGCATGTGCTACTACAAATCTACAATTCAGCCAAAGACAAAAAGTTTTTTTTTTTGGTTAATTTTATTATATTATTAGGAAGATTCTCGCGTATTGATAAATTAAAATTTTTTAACTATTAAATTTATATATTTTTTAATTTGTATATAATTTTATATAATTTTAATGAATATAAATCTGACGTATCGGTATATTAATGTACCAGAATAGGTCTCATTTTATTATTATTTAGGAAAGACTCAGACAAGTTTATCAAGCCATTTCCTTCCGAAGCCACGTGCTATGCATGTAGGTAATTTTTATCTTTGTATTAAGTTTTAATTACTGTGTTAGTACTTTTTTTTTTCTAATAACATAAATCTTAGTTAGTTTTTAGTTAATACACGGCTAATAAAAACATTATTTCACCAAGACAGTTAGGGAAGAAAATATTTATGATGATGGCATTTAAAAAAATAAATAAGAATGTATATTGGGAAAAAGTTATTATAAAATTTTATAAAGATGATAAAAAAATAAAAGTGAGCAACTAAAGAAGCAAATAAAAAGGGGAAGGATGACAAAAAAAAGGAAGAAAAATATAAAAGATAAAGAATAAAGAATGTAAAAGCACAAGAATGCACAGTGGTGACAAAAAAAAAGATTAAATAAGAATGAGATAAAAAAAATAAGAGACTAAAAAATCAAATAAAAAGAGGAGGACTAAAACAACAAAAGGAAGAAAAGCAAAAGGAAAAAAAAAAAAGGTAATATAGTGAAAAAAGGATAAAATTAAATAAAGGATAGGAGGAAAAAATGAGAAACTAAACAAACATACAAACAAAAAGGAAGAAAAGAAAAAAAAATTAAAATTAAAAACAAAATAGAGAGACTAAAATGATAATGAGATTAAATGAGAGTGAGATGAAAAATAAAAATTAAGCACTAAAGAAGCAAGTGAGAGAGGAATGTGAGAGGAAAAATAAAAATTAGGGGCTAAAGAAACAAATGAGAAAAGAAATGGACCCAAAAAACAAGTAAAAGGAAGAAAAAAATAAGAAAAAAAAAACTAAAAAAAAAAAACTAAAAGGAAATGGACCCAAAAAACAAGTAAAAGGAAGAAAATAATAAGAAAAGAAAACTTAAAAAAAATTGGGACAAAATGCAGGCCAAAATGTCCTAGGACGAAACGACGATAGCCACTTTAAGGCTTTCATATATGTAAAGATTATACATGTAGGGCTCGTTTACTTCGCGGATTCAAATTTTCAATTCGAGTTGAGATGTGATATTTTCTAAGAGCTTTTCACTGTAGTAAAAAAAGTTAGATGTGACATTTTCTGAGAGTTTTTTACTGTAAAAACCTAAAACTGAAAACTCAAATCGGTAAAATGAACGAGACCGTAAAGATTAAAATATCATAACATACTATTATATTATAATTAAAATAAAAATCAATGAATATGGATTCAAAAGTCTGTTCTAACTTTTCCTTTTTTCTTTTTAATTTTTGAAAATCACTATGGTACCGAATCTTTTTTCGTCATAAGTAACAAAGGAAATCACAACTGTCAAATTAGATCTAACAATATAAAAAAAAAAAAAAAAGAAACTCCACTTAAAGGTGTTCATCCAATCTAATTCCAATCCAACCTATATTAACCATATAACAACCAAACTAATCTAAGGTCAGTTTTTAAGACATCGTTTATTTCACCGATTCGAGTTTTCAGTTATAGGTTTCTACAGTAAAAAGCTCTCAGAAAATGTCACATCTAACTTTTTTTGCTACAGTAAAAAAACTCTCTGAAAATGTCACATCTCAGCTTGAATTGAAAACTCTAATCTGCGAAGTGAACGAGCCCGATCCAATCCAATCTAATAATTAGTGTATCATTCAATCTAATCTGATCCGATTGATATTGGTTTGGATTGGATTGGAGCAATCAGTTTTAGACTTGGGTTTTTTGTATAGTTTTTTAATTTTTATTTTTAAGTTCAACCTCTTTGTTAGATTTTTTAACATAATTCAAATGCTACGTAGTTAAAAAAAATTATAAGAATTAACATTCACAAATAAAAAACCAATATAAACTCCAAAATACAAACTTGAAATTTAATTAAAAAGCCAACAAACAACTATAAAGAAATAGACGTTTTATTCAAAACTGTAAAGAAACAACAAAGAAAGATAACACAATTTAAAAATTCAAACATGTACTACTCTATTTTATGATGATCTACATAGAAAGAAAACAAAATCTATTTTTTATTTTTTTAGGTAATATATAAGGATTGGATCGATTTGAATCGTGTGTTTTGAAAGTAAAATTAATATGCAATTCAATTCAAGTTGGTTTTAAAGAAATCACATCAAATTCAATCCAATTAAAATTGGTTATCCATTAAAAATATATTAAATTAGTTGATTTGATTGGTTAATTGGATTTTATGAACACCCTAGCTCCACCTACTCTAAACTAAAGGATCCCTTAGAGAACGAAAGAAGACAATTACCAACATAGTATTTCATAGAATATCAAAAAAAAAAAAGGATCAAATAGAAAAAAAAAAAGATAACATTTCATAGTATAAAAAAAAAAGATCAAATAGAAAAAAGTACATGGTTTATTATTGTTTTATCCATGCATATTATTTATATCATTCTAAATAATTTAATGTTATCATAGTGTTTTATTTATTTTTATTAATTAAAAGACATTTGTTTATTTTTAAATGCAGCGATATAAATAATAATTTTATCATTTTGAGTGGTATTTGAAGAATTGGAAGTGGATGTTACGCTTTGACCTGTAAAGACATCAGAACATGTAACAATTACAATGAAAAAAAAAAAAAGAAGATAATCATAGCATACAAAAGAACTAGACATGAATTTAAATAATTATATTTTCAAGTTATAATTGCATTGGCTGACTGATTATGTTCCAGTCAACTACTGATTAAGCAAATTACTTCGACACCTCCAAAGTTAATTTTTGTAATTTTAAAAGAAAAACCCCAACTACTTTTAGCCCTGATTTATATTTATAGAGAAAAATATATGATTTACTGTGATTCTTATTTATATCCTTTTAAATAATTAGTTGCCTATTATGATTATTTATTTATTAATGAAATAATAATTGTTTATTTTTAATTGAGTTATAGAAATAATATTCTGAATTATTATCATTGGCAGCCTCTAAATTTTATAATTATTCTTAGTTTGTTTAATAAACTTTAAAAATTTTAATTTTATTTTTTAAATTGTATATTGTTCCTACTTAACACTTCATGTTATAATTTCTGTTAAAAATAGATAGAAAAAGAGAATAATACTGTCATTGTCTTTATGTTTAGATTTATGTTAAAAAGAAATGAATAAAAACCAAATGACTATACTTAATCTTCAATTTTTTTGTTTAATTTTAACAAAAATTCTTATAAAAAATTTAAATGGGATAAAATTCAAAATTTTAAAAGTAAAATGAGATATTTTAAAGTTTAAAAGATAAATTAAAAATGATTTTAAAATTCAGTGACGTGATAATAATCCTAATACTTTTTTTAATGAGTAGTATTTCTGATTTTTTTTTCCTTTTTATCTCTCTCTACACGCTCAAAAATTTATTATGTCGGGTTGGGCTTCAAGAAAATCCCACCCTAAAAGAGAACGGAGCAGTCTTTCCCTCACTCCCTCTTCCGTCGGCCCCCCCACACTTAAACACCGCACTCGCCGCCGTCCACCGAGCCGAACCTACTCACCTGAGCTGAGCGGACCCTCCTGAAGTTGCCCCGCGACGTTTCTTCAAACCCATTAACCACTTCTTCTTCTTCTTCTTCTTCTTCTTCTTCTTCTTCTTTTTCTGCTTGGTAGCCATGGTATTTGTATGTTACCTTTTCCTATTCCAAACTTGAACATATTCATATACAGGACCTGGCTTCTTTTGCGCAGAAATGCGTCTTCTTTATAATTCACTTCACAAGCTCTCCTTAAAACCCACAAGCAGTGTTTTAATGGGGTCAAAGCAATTCCTCAAGTCTACTTTTTTCTCAAACCCATTAACCCCTGCTTCACATAGACGCCTCTCCAACACTCGTAAACTCCCTTTCTCCGCTTTCCCTTCAAAACCCACCTCCAGAACTCAGCCCTGTTGCCTTATCAAGACTAATGGCTACTCCAGTGTCTCTGAAGCCAGTGACCCCAGAGCAGGTATGATATGAACCTTCAAACTTACTGTTCTTTCATCTATTTGAGTATGTTTTTGTTGGTATTGCTTTTAATAATATGGTAGTTTTTGAACTTTTGAAGAGAACTATAGGAACAAAATAAAATAAAAAACAAACAGATGTTGCGTTTGTTTTTGAAATATCAGCTTGTTTTATTTTGTTGTAGTCGTTTTGGAGGATCCAGAAGAGAAGAATGCTTCCCAGTTCAGGATTTTGAAGCAGAAACTGGAGGACCTTGGTCTGGAGTGTGACATATCTGTGCCGGGTCAATTTAACCACTTGATTTGTCCAATGGTATTTTGTAGTTTTCGTTTTGTCTATTATGCTTACTTTATATCAATTTCAGTTTTGATTCTCTGGGGATTGTTGAATGTGAATGGGCTGGTAAAAATTGGAAAGCCAAATGTGAATGGACTCTTTAATGTGTTTGAACTTAGTAATATCGTCTGTTGAAGAAGATGGAATTTTTGTAGAGATTTTCTTTTGGAAAACCTGAGCAAGGCAAGTCTAGAGCTCGTTTGGTAGGAGAAAAAGGTGTAAGGAGTTTGGTAGGAGAGAAAGGAGGAGGGAATGGATGGGGTGAGGGATTTCAAATCCTTCAAAGAATTCCAATTTTGATGTCCCCCCATTATCGGCGATTAGAGGGGGTATACATACCAAACACAATAAGAGAAGGGTCCTACCCTTCCTCTCTATTATCCCTGATTTAAATACCTTTCTTTACTTCCTATTTTCTTTCCCTCTTTCCAAACACATCCTAACTCTGCTTATGTATATCCCTTTTCTTTTGATTGGGACACTTGTGCTCACATCTGGCCACTTTTGTTTACTTTCATGTAGTGCAATGGTGGTGATCAAGAGGAAAGGAGCTTATCTCTTTTTATTGAACAAGATGGGTAAGCTTTAACTCTTTTACAGGTTTTATTCTTTAATGGATTGCGGATCATATTCATGTCGCGCATGCTTCATGTGTAGGAGTTCGGCTTTGTGGGTGTGTTTTCGTGCAAAATGTGGGTGGAGAGGCAGCACGAGAGTGAGTCTATAAAATATTCCTTGAGCATTATACTGAAGACAAATAAATGTATATCCAAATCAATTGGCTTAGTGTTGCCGGTTTGTTACAGGCTTTTGCGGAGAGTAAGCCAGCTTATGAAAGACCAAACAAAATAGCCAGAATAAAGAAAATACGAGAGATAACAATCGAGGATCTGGGACTGGAACCACCTTGTGATGAGGTTGTTAAATTTCATTGTCTTCTACCTCTTTCCTTGAACGTGATTTGTATATGCAGTTTATTCCAATTGCTTCATAACCTTTTTACCCTCAAAAATCATTTTTCAAACAAAAATGAATTCGGATTTTTATTTTTATTATTTTTTTAAAAAAAATATTGTTTTGCTTTTGTTTTTCATTCCAGTTTGGTTTTTTCAAAACAAACTTTGCTGCTCTGTTTGCCATTAAGAAAAAGATTGTTTTTCTTTAATGTTATTCATAAAAGTGCACTCCAGTTACTGTACAGGTATTATTTTATCTAAATATTTTTAGCTCGTACGATTTTTCTCTGTTTGATTCTCTGAGTGCTGGTCAAAGTCACTATCAAATTCACTGGATTTGTCGGCTCTGGAATGCTAGTTTTTCGTTTTTAATATCAGACTCTGATGTTTCTGGTTTCATCTTTGCTATCTAATCTTACAGAGCTGCTTGTACTGATAATACCAGAAACCTTCTCTGGCAGTTTATGGCTGACCTTGTTCTTTCCTTTGTTCAGATAGTTGCTTACTTTTCAGAGAGAATGATATCAAAGGAAACGATGCAGAGAAATGCTGTAATGCAAAAGCGTTATGATGATCAGGTGCACATATTGCTGATTTAAGGAAAAAAGGATTTTTTATGCATTTTTATTTTTAGTTTAGAATTCTCAGGATTTTTCATCTGTAAGTTAGAACAAGATATATGATATAGATTATTGTTTATAGGCTATTACCCTTAAAAAACCATTTCAGAAATGGACATTAGACAAGCAGACAGGTTTGCACCAGTTAGCGTGTGATTTGAAATTGAAAGTCAAGCTTGTACAGTAATACTTCGTAAAATTTCTTTAAAGTGGAAACTGAATTCCGCTAGACGGTGTCAAACTTGATTATATAAAGCTTTCCACAAAACCAAACTTTTAGTTTTCTTCATTTGCCAATATTGCATTGCAGTTTCTTTTTTCGGCTATTTTTCTGCTTACCTATATACTTCTGGAATTTATTTGCAGTTCGCAATTGCATTTACGTACTGGAGAAATGGAAATCTTATTAGTTGCAAGTATCGGGATATCAACAAGAAGTTTTGGCAGGTTCTTTGAATAGCGTTACTTTTGTTACCCAAATGAAGTGGTAACAAGCAATAGTTTATAGTTAGTAAATGCATGCGGGTGGGTAAACAATGGTTTATATGTCACCTCATCCTCTGCTGTTCTTGTGTATCCTTCCCCTCTCTCTCTCTCTCTCTCTCTCTCTCTCTCTCTCTCTCTCTCTCTCTCTCTCTCTCTCTCTCTCTCTCTCTCTCTCTCTCTCTCTCTTTCTCTCTCTCTCGATAAGAAAAAACTTTAATAAAACTTTATATTGATGAAAGGTTCATAAAAGAATCTTTTCTGATAAAAAAAGTGAATGCATGTGGGTGTGTGTGCACTGTGTTATTGCGCTTGCTCGCGTGTGTGTATTTGAAGAAAATAGCATGTATGTAAGATATAATTTGAATTTTCAGAGTATTGGTGATTGGTAGTCCATTAATTACTTCCTTTTCTATTTCTTAGTTTAGTGAAACTCATAGTTTTGAACTTCCCATAAAAATTTCACTTTTCTTCCAATGAGTAGTGATCCAATAGTTAGTTTCTTTTTTGCTCGCTGAGTTTAATGTATCTCATAGTTTCAAGCTTCAATTTTGTATATCCAGAAAAAAACTATAATTTTGTACATGTTCTTATGAGAGATCTTTTGATTTGAACTTGTTGAATTACAAAAGAGTTCCTTATCGGTGATTCATGTGTCATTTTTTTTCCTTTTGCTTCATCCTCTTTGTCAGGAAGCAGACACTGAGAAGATCTTTTATGGGCTGGATGATATAAAGGAAGCTAGTGACATTATTATTGTATATCTTCCACCATTCTATATGCCTATAATGTCTTCTTCAATCATTCCTCATCCTGATGCTTACTCCACTTTTATGTTATACATTAGGTCGAGGGCGAAATGGATAAGCTTGCGATGGAAGAAGCTGGCTTCCGTAACTGTGTGAGTGTCCCTGATGGTGCACCTCCGTGTGTTTCCGAAAAGGATTTGCCACCTAAAGAAACGGTTCGTCGCGATCACTTCTTTTCTTTTCTTGCTTTGCCTTTGAAAATTCACAGGCCTTTATCTTTTCCCTTAATTCACTCTTGGCCGTATGTTTTGAACTCAATTTTTTGGCAACTAGATATCTCCAGCTCTCATCCGACTCTTGTCCTAGATGGAATCACTATTTTTATGTGTTATTTTAATTATGAAAGTTGAAAATTCAGCATTTATACAGGAATGTGTTGCATTAAAGCAGTAGGAGGACTTGTGCTCTCCCTTATCCTTGTCCCCATTTGTTTTCTTTTCTATTTTTGCTCGTCTTCGTTGTGATTCAATGCTCGTCTTCTTTGTGATTCAAATGGGTATACTGCAATGTGTATTTGCCCTAGACATCGAACCATGTTTTAGTGGCGCGCTACATTACTGGATGATTTAAATGTCTGCCCTTGTATTTAAAAAAATTTAGATCTGATTCTATTTTTGTGTCTTCTGCAAAGCTAGGACACAAAGTATCAGTACTTGTGGAACTGCAAAGAGTACTTAAAGAAGGTTTGCGAATTTATGCTTTTGATTTAGACACATAACTATTAGAGTTGCTCAGTTCATTTCTAAATTTATCAGTGTTGACAGGCATCACGCATCATACTAGCAACTGATGGAGATGTCCCTGGTCAAGCCTTGGCGGAAGAGCTTGCACGCCGTGTTGGAAGAGAAAGGTTACTAGATAGAGTCATGTTATTAGCATGCAGTTTTCGTTTGTTTTGAGAGACTCGGTGGTACTGTGAAAATAACTCTGGGATCCATTTGACTTGCAGGTGTTGGCGAGTCAAGTGGCCAAAGAAAAATGAGGTCGATCATTTCAAAGACGCGAATGAGGTCCGCTAAGTCTCTTGACAATATAGGCAAATATATGTTATTTCAGGGGTTTAGTTTCAACTTTCATATCCGATGCAAATGCTAATGCCAGTTGTATATTTGGCACCAAAAATTGTGGAAATGGCGAATTTTATGTGTTATTTTCATTTGTGCACCAATGCATAATGCTATTTTAAATGTCAATCTATTTTTTTGTCATAATCATTGAGCTTTGAAAGTTGTGAAAGTAAACTTTTAATTTTTGAATAATTTGAAAATGTGAATTTTGCAATGATTAAATGAACAAGTAAAGCATATAAGCCAATAACAAGCAAATGCTAAAATTTGGCATATGCTATACTTAGTGGTAAATTTTCCACCAAGTATAGCACATGCTAAATTAGCACTATGAATAGCATTGCGCTGGAGAGTGATTTTCTTCCACAAATGCTAAAAATTTGGCATGGGCACACTAATCTAGCTCTTGTGTTCTGGTTTTTGTATATCTCCTAGTTCAATGGCCGTGTTATAGTTACTAATGATTATAATAAAAAAAAAAGTGTTGCTTGTTTGTTTAGTTTGTTTTGAAGAGTTCTCTTAATTATTTCTTGATAGTTTTCTCGGCTATCCCTTTACCAAGCCTTAACTACTACGTGTTATACTTTTACAGGTTCTCATGTATATGGGTCCTGATGTACTGAAGGAAGTAATTGAGAATGCTGAGTTATACCCTATACGGGGATTGTTCAATTTTAAAGATTATTTCAGTGAAATAGATGCATATTATTATCGGACTTTTGGAGATGAGTTTGGTGCGTCAACTGGGTGGAGATCTCTAAATCACTTGTATAATGTAAGCATATCTCGTAGTGTTCATTGAATAATAGTTGAGAAAGTACCTTAAGCTGAGTTTGGTGCACAAGATTTGATAATATTAGGTCATTACTTGGATTGAAATAAGTGATGAAGTGTCTTCTGATTACTACTATTGTATGTTTGCTACATTGTGGGATTGAAGGAACTGAAAAAACAATATTTATTCTTCTAATGTATATTTTAGTAATAAAATGAGGTAATGAACATTTATGAAATTAAATCTTAATAGCCAAAATGAATTAAATATGAAATTGTTAGATTAAGTTTATTTGAGTAATAAGCTAAATACAATACTAAAACTTCTTAGTCCAAGCTCATCAAGAAGATATGTAAAACTATTGTCCATTCCCAAACTAAAACTGTATTAAAAATCAACATAATCCCCATCGCAGAAATGAAGGAGAGGGATTAGTGAGGCTTTGAAGTAGTAGGAGTTGCTTGATAGGCCCTTTCATTTTCAGTCATTGTTAAACATTTGCGATTTAGATTTTGGATAGATGTTTTGTCATTTATTTGAATTATCTTATCAAGAAATAAAGATAAAAGAAAAATAGTGATCTTATTTTCATTAGCTGATTTTTGGGGCTTTCTTTTTTACTTTTAACTGGGTAAAAAAGATGCAGACTTGTTTAGGCGCCTGGTTGTGGAGATAGTCTGTTTTAGTCCTTATTTTATTATTGTTTTTTAATCAGGTCGTGCTAGGTGAATTAACTGTAGTAACTGGAGTCCCTAATTCAGGCAAGAGTGAGTGGATTGATGCTCTCTTGTGCAATCTTAACGAAAGTATGGGTTGGAAATTTGCTCTTTGCTCGATGGAAAACAAGGTAAGCTAGTCCATGGTCAATTCCGATTTTGTTGTTTTCTCCTCTTAACGATATTTCTGGCCTTGGGCCCTTATGAGGAATGAGAATTGGTGTATTCTTTATTTGTTCATATGAGCTGTATATTTTAATATTATGTGCATATTCAATAGTTTCAGATAGTGCATCGAGTTGAATAACACAACATCTATTTATCTTGTATATTGTTTTTCATTTTGCACTGTTATAGAAACTTCTTACGAGACGAGGTTTTAGGAGAGAATTTCTTAAGATTTATAGGAGAAAACCACTAAGTTGTTTCTTTCTTACTTTCTTTTTCTACGAGAATTTGACACAAGATGGGGAGACTTCTATTCCTCATTAAGGTTTCATCATATTTTAGCAAATATATATGTATGTATTTTCCATGTGAACCGTTATTCCCAATAAGGAATACTAATTTGATTGCAGAATATCAGAAATTTTATAATTCCATTATTCGTCAAAAGTTATTGAAGAATTTTCCGAATGAAGATATTAATTACATAGATATCTTGATATATCTTTTGTTTCTTCCTGCCTATCTTATTCTTTTTTATCTCATACGCGACTCATTCAATTATTTACAGGTCAGGGAGCACGCGAGGAAACTATTGGAGAAACACATGAAAAAGCCTTTCTTTAATGTGCGGTAAGTTTGGATCGAGTTCTCTAATTTCCTCTTTTCTCTATTTTCCTCCTGTTTTCTTTGAGCGTGTTAACTGTCATTAAATGTTTCTTTGCTTTTGTGGCTGGCAAAAGTTATGGTGAATCTGCTCAGCGGATGAGTCCTGAAGAGTTAGAGCAAGGAAAGGAATGGCTAAATGAGACCTTTCATCTTATTAGGTGAGTTTGAAGCATTAAGTCAGCTATTTCGTCTTCATAGTGCATATGACTCTCAATTCTAAATATTGACAGGAGTAATTATGAGCATGCACTTATAATCACTTGGTCTTTCTGACCAATTCCCTTTGCATGGATGCCTATTTGCTTTTGCTAAATTTTTTATTCTTCAAATTCAATGACTCAATTGCTCTTATAATCACATTGGGCATGTTCGCTAGCTTGTAATGGAATTTAATCGGAACAGGAAAGATCTAAAAGGAATACAAAAGAGGATCATTGAATTCTCTTTCTAGTATTTATATACCTATTTGGAAGTGGAATTTCGAAACAATCGAGTTCCATTTCTAGTGTTTAACTAACTTTAGGAATAGGAAACCTATTAGTTTTTAAGTACTAAAATGTCTCTGTGCCTATAATTATCAGTTAAAATTTAGTAAGGCTACAAAGTTAATGTTGTGGTTTTGGTACTTAGAATTGGCTCTCTTTCCTCATCCCCTACATCACATCACGTGGGCCCTACTAAATTAGCATTCCTCCTCTTGTAAGTAAATATGTGTATAGATGGGCAAGACAAAAATTCTTCCGTTTCCTTTCACTGCAAGTAAACGTGTTTTTAATATCTTAGGGATTTAATCTCCATATTAACACTTGGAATGCCTGGCATACGAAACAAAATTGAAAGGCTATCTCATAAATCTAATAAAGCACATTTTTCTTGAATTTGAGCACGTTTAACAAACCGGAAAAGAATGAGGATCCTTGACTCCCGTTTTAGTATTTACTTATCTATTTGATGGTGCAATGGGAAACAATCCAATTCCCTTGCTAATGTTTAGTAAACGTAGGAATCAGAATTTTATCAATGTAATTACTAAATTCTCCTTTACAAAATTAGAAAAATCATTGGCTTATGACATCTAACTTATTAAGGGTTTATAAGTAAATTTGACATTCATTCCCGTTAACTGAGAATCATTATCAACGGGGTGCAAGGATTGATATTCCCTTTCCTCATTCTTATATTATGTGAGGCTTACTAAACTCTCATTACTGATATTGTATGCAAACACATGATTATGACAAAGGGAACCATTTCTAGTTTTTCCTTTCCCTTTCATGCAAAGTAAACTTGCCATTCTAATTTTCCATGTGATGAGCATCAGTAGGTTGAACAATCTTTATTGCAGGTTTCTAGAAAAGGTCTTGATTCCTTTGTTTTATAGTTATATTATAGGACGTCCAAACATTAGTATTTTTTTTTCTTTTCACCTTTCCTTTTGCTGGCCATGTATTTAGGTGTGAGGATGATGCACTTCCAAGTATTAAGTGGGTTCTTGATCTTGCAAAAGCAGCGGTTTTGAGGCATGGGGTTCGTGGACTCGTAATAGACCCTTATAACGAGCTCGATCATCAGCGTCCTTCAAGCCAGTAAGTTCTTTTAGTACCTCTTACTGCATGCTTGTTTTGCATGGCTTTGGGCTGATTTCAGAACTAGCACTGTGTTAAGTCTCTGGAATCTCATTTTCAGATTTTGAGCTACGCAAAACCTCATTTGGACCCGCCCCGCTTTCTCGACTCCATTTAATAAATGAGACTAGCAGGAAAAAACCTGGCGGGGCATCGGGGACCCACCTCACCACACCTGTTGCCTCGTTTATATAAATTAAAAAAATGGAAATGTTTTAGGAATTTTTAAAGTTTTTTTATTTCATTTATTCAGATTTTTAAGGGTTTTTTCCCCCCTTTTCACTGAAATAATTTTTTTTAACCCTAGCTAAAGTATTAAGAGTCTTTTTCTCCTTGTTCTATTTTATACATGCAGGCATACGTTATAGTTAGCCATTATTGTTTATCAATCTTGTGTCTTGACATATATGGTGCATCCCAATACTTCATTGCAAAAACCACATCACAAGTCTTCACGTCTTATTCTTATACCAGTTACTAATGAGATCGTGAAATCGCAAAATCAATTTCATAACAAAAAATTGAAATTAGTACTCAAATTAGTATTCACAAGGAAAGTTTGAGACGTCTGTAGCTTGTTATTTTCAAAAGTTATAACGCCAGAAAAGTCCAGAAATTTTGTCCAAAAGATTTGTATACGGATCATCTCATCAGATAATTTACGTCCAAAATGCAATTACAAATGAAAAATACCCAACGGGAAAATCATCCAAGTACTTCAACATAAGTACTCGTGAGAATAGAGGGATTATCTTCAACTTCTAACAGTCCAAATATGGATTGAAGTTTGAATATATAGAAATGCTACACACATAATGGAAAGAAAAAGAAAACACCAGACAAAATTTATATTTCCATATGTGGTATCTTTTGTCTTATTAAACAACCAAATTATCATCTAATATGTCATGGAGCAAAAATACCTAAAACTCATGGGGTCCATCTCAACATAAACAGAATTAACCAAACTTACCCAACTAAAGATTTACAAATGAAGGGCACATAAATCATAATTTGTATCTATTTTTGGGTATATCTGGGCGCCAGAAAATTTTCACTTTCAGCATAAGAAAGGCAATGTGGTATTTGCTGAAGCCTTAGAGTGTCATCTTGATGGAAATCTAAAAGCCTTCATTTTGTATCTTAGAATCGAATTAATTTCTTTACTAATTAGGACTTATCAATCTTTCCCAATGCAGAACAATAAAGAAACGTTGGAAAAAAGAAAAAGAAATCATAAAAGAAAAACAGGGGAGACAAAAAAGAACATGAATTACACATGCAGATTGCAGAGCCAAACTTCACATGTTAAATTGAGAGTGAATTTCAAAATGAAGAGGTGGGTACCTGACCCTATTTTAGTAGTTAGGAGAAGAAAACAAGCTTTTGTGCTAAACAGTGGGGACATAGCATGGACAGAGGAAAGGAAAGAAATTCGACGCACAGCAGGCAGTGGCAGATTGCGCGAAGAAGGTGATGAGAGAGAGTGAGGGTTAGGGCTTTGAGATTTGAGATTGGGAAACGTAAAATCCGAAGAACAGAATTTCTCGATCTGATTTTCTTCCTCCTTAAAAAGAAAAAAATCTAATTAAGCGTAACGAAGGCGAATACGGGCCACCCCACCCTGTTTTCATCCCTTGTATTTCCAAGCTTGGATAAAAGTTAAAACTAGTCATCAATGTGGTCTTTCTTTGCAATACTATTTTTTATTATTTACTTTTTTTTTTTTTTTTTTTCATTTATTACAGAACAGAAACAGAGTACGTTAGTCAGATGCTTACCCAGGTTAAGCGGTTTGCACAACATCACGCTTGCCATGTTTGGTTTGTAGCACATCCTCGACAGGTTTGCTTTTTCGTGTTTTATTATGTTCTACCCTTTGTTTTCTTTCCCTTCTTTTTCAGCTGGCCTCAAATCCTTTTATTTTTCCACTATCTAATTAGTTGCTTGTCCAACAGTTGCAAAATTGGGCCGGGGAGCCACCGAATCTTTACGATATAAGTGGAAGTGCACACTTCATAAACAAATGTGACAATGGAATTGTAGTTCATCGTAACCGCGATCCAGATGCTGGTCCCGTTGATCAAGTACAAGTGAGTACTATGCAAGCTTACAATCTCCACTTAAAAGCATTCAATGAGTCTCACCAGTCACCACCCAGTTCTTATTGTAGCTTTTCGTTAGATGTCGACATCTGTTTTCACACTCTGTAACTTGCAGATTATTGTCAGAAAGGTACGGAATAAGGTCGCGGGAACCATAGGTGAAGCCTACTTGGCGTATGATAGGTATGGTAATGCTTTGTCAAGTTTTGAGCATGAAAGAAATGGACATTTTCTTCCTTTTTTTTTTCTCTTTGATGGTGGCCTATGGCCCCTGCACTTCCCAGGTTTCGAACCTGAGAGCTTACCCCTCCCCTCCCTACCATCTGGGCGTAGATGATCATTTTCTTTTCATGAGAAGGAGACAAATACTTCTTAGAGTGCATGAGTCTGGATTTTTACACTTTATTCTTGATTAATATCCTTTTTAGTTAAATAACTATATTAGTCAAAGGATATTAATCAAGAGTAATGGGTAAAAATCTAGACTCATGCACTCTGAGAGTAAGTTCAGCAATTTTCTCTTTTCTTTTCTTGAACTATTCACAACATTTTTGGCCCACTTGCTTGTAGATAGTGAGAAATTTAAACAAAATCTATATTCTCTTTGTCAATTGCTTTGGAACACTATATGAGGGAATTAGTAATTGCGGTTTCATTCTTGGCCTTGGCAGGGTGACAGGTCGATATATTGATATTCAATGAGGTTAAGAACAGCCTTGTACAGGGGCATCTGCCGATAATCCACATCTGGCAAGGTGCCGATTGCCATTGCCGTTTTAAGGAACACGGTATGAGAAGATCAAAAGGCGATTTTGTTTTAGGAGGCTGGTAATGTTCAAATTTTTTTCCTTTTTCTTTTATTAGATTTCTATATTTCTGTATACTTGATTATGTCGATGTCTTGTATTCAACGTGTAATGACTTCATCTCCTAGATAATATATCCTCTATTTTCTACTCTCTCTCTCTCGCAACATAGATGGCACACCCTGTATGTATATTATGCATTAGTCTCTTGTTTTTAGAGAAACAGTTTACTATCTTCTTTCCCCACTAATACCAAATGTGTAGCATAAGAACGACTTTGATTGTAGTATTTGCTCCTGAATGTGAGGGGGCTTTAAAGTTGTTAAATTTATTCAACAACTTGCGTGATATTCTCATGATAACTAGTTTCGGCACGTCCGTATTGAGTTATAATTTGAAGTTCTCATAACGTAAAATACCAAAAACAATAAGCAGCGAAAAAAAAAGAGAGAAAAAATTTATTTAGAGATTCAAAAAGAGTGTACATTATTCAAAAAGTGATAGTATGCCTATTCTAACGAAAAGAGTATACATCAAGTGATAGAGCTTTAAAAAGATAATACTTTAAGAGCTCGTTTGGTTCATAGATTTGAACAAAAAAGTTTGAACAAAAAGTTTTGTGAGAGAAAATATTATAACAAATTGTTTGAACAATAATTTAAACATATGAAACAAATGGGGGCTAAGTGATAGTATGCCTATCTTTACGAAAACGACACACTTAATCAGATGTATAGTTTGAATATCCCATACTCAATATTTCTTTCAAAGGGGTGGACGTTAATAATAGTTGAAGTCAAAAAGGTTATGTTTAATTATAAAAACACTCAATATTTCTTTTAAAGGAGTATGGGTTAATAATAATTTAAGTCAAAAGGTTATGTTTAATTATAAAAATACATGAAACATCCTAAATTATAAGATGACAAAATTAAAAAAAAATAAAGGAGCTGAAACTTAAAAAGGAAAGGAAAAAAAAAAAACACTAAAAACTCACTGTTTTGAACCACAGTACAATGAACATAAATAATGAAATAACAAAATAAAACAAATAAAGGAGTTTAAAACTTAAAAATGAAAAAAAAAAATTAAAACATTTATGACGTTTGGTTCATGAATTCAGAACTATTCTCGTTTTACGTATTTTTTTGTGAGAAAAAAATATTATAACGAACTACGAACCATAATTCGAATCATGACACGAATCTCCCTTCCTAACGTTACATAAAACTCAGGGGTGTTTGGTAAGAGGATTCGTACCCTGATTCGAAGCATGGTTCATGGTTCGCTACAGTGTTTTCTTTCACAAAAAATACACATAAATAAAAAATGATTCTAATCTCATGATTTTAATCCATAAAACAAACGTCTCTTCATTGTTTTGGCCATCACGGGATGAACAATAGCCACACATCAACTTTTTATATATTTAAGATTTAAGATTAGAATACAATTAGAATTTAGGTTTTGACACGTATGAAAAACAAAGAAATGAAAGAGTTTTAAAAAAGCACCAAAATGAACAGTAAGGACTACAAAAAATAAACGGTATAGTTTTCATTAACTCGTTTTTATACGTGTCAAATGGAGTGCAGTGATGTATATAGCTAAGACATCTAGGCCCCGTTCATTTCGCTGATTCGAGTTTAGAATTCGAGTTTTGCTACAGTAAAAAGCTCTCACAAACAATCACATATAACTTTTTTGCTACAGTAAAAAGCTCTCACATAAAATCACTTCTCAACTCGAATTAAAAACTCGAATCAGCGAACTAAACGGGCTCCTAATAAACTGATAGATTATAATCTGATTAATTCAACTAGACACTCACCATTTATTATAAGAGAAAGAAAATAAATATTTTTTAAAGTGTATGGATCTAAATTTTTATTCTTTATTTTTAAATAATATCTTTATTTATTAAATAATTATATAAATTAAAATAATATTAATAAAAAATAAAAATAAAATTTCAGATACATACACTCAAATGGTAAGTTCAACTATCTTTTCACTGCACATATGTTTTCATTGTTCAGTCCTTTGACAGCGCATTACAACCGAAAGCTCTGGCTCCCTATCTATCTATCCAAGGGATGGAACGAGAGATGCATTTGGCATTCCCTCCAGTCAAGAATCGAGACCTCATAGATCATAATCACCAGTCAAATGTACTTTTCTCTCATTCCTATTCATGCTTCAATATTTTGATGTCCTAGGCGTAAAGAAGCACCACGAGCTAAGATGATAATTTCTTTTAAACTAAAGATTTCATTTTTAATATTGTCTTCACAACAAAATACCTTTTCAATATGGGAAAACTTTACAGTGCATCCCTCATTCATAACCCACTAATAGAGTAAATATTTTTAACTGTTAAATTACATTTTTAACAGTTAAATTTATGCAAATCTGTATTAAATATTTATAATGTCCCATACAAAACTACTCTTATTGTATATCTGACCCTTAAAAATTAATTTAATGGCAAAAACTGTTACTCCATCAGTGGGTCACAATTTTAAAATGCCGTAAAGGGGACCATTAATATTACATTAAAAGATTAATTACAAAAACTCTTCTTAAATTATTTCCCTTATAACACTTTGCCTTTTAATATTTAAAATGTAATATTTATTCTCCTCGAATAATAAAATGTTAACAAAAAAGCCTCGTCGGTTAGTTTTTTAATGGAAATTGACATTTAATTTATTATTTTGGGGTATTTAGTAACTTTATGGTTTAAAATTTAGTTTTAATCTATACTAATTTAAATTTAAACTTTTAATTATAATACATCAATTATTGATTGAATTTTAAGTTAAAAAATTTTATGAATCTTTTTTTAGTATAATTAAAAGATTTATGATTTTTTTAATATTTAAATTAGTTTAAATTCAAATAAAATTATAAACCATAAAATTATTAAAATACCTTCAAATAGTAAAATTAAATGTCAATTTTTTTTGAAAACCTAATGAAATGGGTTTTTTTATTAACATTTTATTATTAAATTAGCGTTTTAAAAAGCAAAGGCCAAAGTGTTACAATATAATTCAAGAGAAATTTTTATAATTAATCCTACATTAAAAACAATATAGTAAACACCAAACTACACAAGATCGTCAGAGTGCACACAAGTGGGCGGCTTGGCGATTTCAGTCGGGTCGGGTTGGTTTTTAAGAAATACAGGTTGGGATGTCGGAAACCGCAAACCACCCATGAAAGGGCTGGCGGGTGCAGGCGAGTTGGGCCTAAACAGGCCCAATGGATTTTTTAAGAAAATAGAAAAAATGTGTGGAAAATTGAAATTAAAAGCACTTTGGGTGTTTTTAATAAAAGTTAAAAAGAGACTTTTTCTGGTAGTCCTAATAAAAATGGACTACTAATAGTTATTTATTTTTCAGTCATAAGATCTGTATTAGAATTTATCTATTCTGTATATTATTTTTAATCTGATATGATTTTAATTAGATATAACAATCGAAAATTGAGACTACTGGTAGAGTGAATTACCGGAGAAACTTTCTTAAAGTTAATTGTTCTTTCTCATCTTTTTAAAGTGACTAATATGAATGAGTTATTTTAATCCTTTCATTCATATTCCATAAATACTTGTTAAAAAAAAGAAACACAAATTCATCGAGCAATACATCAGATATGTACATGGTGTTATTGTAGACATTGAATCTCATAAATGGTCATTGTCTATACATATATAGTACTTTAATAATATGTTAATCCAATCTTTCTTGTGTCTTTTTAAGTAGGTAACTAATATTTAATAAGAATAAAGAGTTTAACTTTTTTTTACTATACTTAATTAACCACTATTTCAATATCTCAAATATGATTATCAAACATCATTCTTTTTCCATCATACTTGTTAAAAAAGAGTAAAAAGCTATCAACAAAATACATATTTAGATCTTAACCTAATATTTAACACTCCTAAATCCAACATATTATTTATAGTTTGTGACTATGTCTGAGCATATTAATAATTATTTACTCAATAAAAACTAACAAATATAATTAATCAGGTTGAGTAGACGAACATAGATTTAGCAAACATATGGAAATGATTTTGTGAATGCATCTTCATTAGAATAGATAGCATGACAAGTGGGCATGTTGAAACCGCAAATTGCCGGGTTGGTAATGTGGCATAATTGTGACGGGCGGGTTGACGGATGTTTTCTACATCCCTAAAAAAAATCGTACCAAAAAAATTAAATAGTAAAAACTAACAAAATCTTCTCTAGTACACTAACATACTGATATGTTATGTTTTATGTCCGTTAAATTTATATAAAATTACGTAAAAATTAAAATATATACAAATTTAACGATTAAAGAACATAACTTACTGATATATCAGACGTAGCAGAGAATCTCCTAAAACTAATACCTAGCATTTTGTAAAAGAGAACTTGGGTATCAAGCCATGTTTTGGTCCCTACTTTTCTAGCTAATAAATCTCTAGTAATCTACCGCCCTAATTTATACAACTATACTCATTTTGGTCATTTCATTTCACTCCTTAAAGTGCTCAAGTCCACTCTCTCGCTTCTCTCCTCTTCTTCTAGTTTCAGAGAAAAATCCTTCTTTCTTTCATGGAGATCGATTTCAACGAATATCAATTGCGCTGCGAACTCCGCGGCCACGAAGACGACGTGAGTATCTCCGATTCCATTCCCCTTACTCTTTCGATTCTTTGAATTTTGATGAATTTGCTATCGAATCATGTTTGTATGCGTCTGTAATGTCTGTATACATCTATCTATGCATTCGAAAACGAAAACTTATAGAAACTTCACCGGAGGAGTCGGTTTTATGTCGTCAGAAATTGAATTGATGGTGACCTTGTGTTTCTGCTTTCTAGGCTCGATGATCCGTTTTTTTTTTTTTTTGTGGCATTGTGAGATTTTGATTCTTCTGAATAATCACAGTTATTCTCGCTGAATTTCTATTAATTTATGTGTTTATATGCTTCTGTTTATACATTCGCCTGCAAAAACCTTTCGAAAACCTCACTGGAGGATTCCTTTTTATGCATCGGAAGTTTGATTCACTTTCGGCTTTTTAGGTTCGGGGGATTTGTGTTTGTGGCAATGTGGGAATCGCCACCTCATCTCGGGACAGAACGGTGAGGCTGTGGACGTTGAACCCATCTGACGAGCGCAGGTACTCGGCGGCTAAGATTCTGCTCGGCCACACGAGCTTTGTGGGGCCGTTGGCTTGGATTTCCCCTGATGACGAGTTTCCGGAGGGTGGGATTGTGTCGGGAGGCATGGACACGCAGGTCTTGGTCTGGGACTTGAGAACTGGAGAGAAGGTGCACACTCTGAAGGCCCACAAGTTGCAGGTCACCGGAATTGCTGTAGATAACGGCGACATTGTGTCATCGTCGGTTGATTGGTGAGGATTTTCTTCATGGTTTATTACAGAATCAATTTTTGCGTCATATTTATCTCATTTATCTTTTAAGTTTTTTGATCACAGAGTTTCTCTCGCAAATAGTTAAATTACATGTCTTGCTACATTATATTAGTATTGTGTGAAGTTTTTGCACAAGTCCTTTAATTTGCATTGATATAAGACGAAGTTATAATGCAAAATTGAGAGGATACCACATGAACATTTTACCATATTGGGATTTTTGTTACAGCTATTTTTTGAGTCTTTTTAGCACAAATTTTTAAATTTCACACAATTTTCTTTTGTTGTGTTTTCTATAGCACTTTAAGACTGTGGAGAAAAGGCCAACCTGTCGAGTCCTGGGAAGCTCACAAGGCAGCAATCCAAACAGTTGTAAAGCTGCCCTCAGGCGAGCTTGCTACAGGTATATCATTAGCTTGTTGACAGCGCTCCCAAGTATATGTGGTCTGGATTAGGTGAGAGTACTTTGATCTAGTTTTGACTTGAACTTATGTAAACTCTGTTTTTCTGCCACAATCTAGGTTCAACTGATACAACTATAAAACTTTGGAAAGGAAAGACGTGCACCCAAACTTTTGCTGGGCATACAGGTTCGTTTTTTGGTTTTCAGTAATTTATGGAACTTTTACTCCATATTTCTGTTTTGAAATAACTTATTTTAGGTTAAGTAATAACCCTGGTTTCTTTTTTTTATTTTTTATTTTTTATTTTTTTTATGGCTTGGGAGTGATGAACGAGTTACACTAGTATAAAGCCGAATTATTTTTTAACTGTGCTAAAATCTTGATTACCACTCAGAAGATGCTGAAATTTGATATAGAAAGATATCATTTGGTCAGATTATTGGAAGGGGTTGGAAATAGGAATCGAGATTTGTTTGACTTGCATATTTGTAAAGAGATGTGTGATTATTAAAGTACTCATGGACATTGAGGATTTGCAGATACTGTCCGAAGCTTGGCGGTGATGTCTGATATGGGAATTCTTTCTGCATCACATGATGGGTGAGACTTTTTTTGGCATTTATTTCTCTTTTCACTGAGTTAGTGATTCTATTCTATAGACCCCCACCTTTCTCCGTTTTTCTCCCCCTTTTTTTTTCTTGCACTTGAGAAGAAAACTTACTCCTAAGGTACTTCGTTGTGAAGTGTATGCCCTGGCGTTATGCCATCTAAATAAAGGAACATTATGAAGAGAGCTATGATATACTAAAAGATATCCATGCGGTCTATGTCCCTTGGTTTTTGGGAGGAACAGATGGAGGGCATATTTTGGCTTTAGATCATAATGAGTTCTATTTTGGATCTTGTTTACTGAATTAAGGGCAGAGATCATATAAACAAGTGTTCTCAACCAAAAGAACAAAAAAATAAAGGGATTTCTTTGTGAAGTTGTAAATGGCGAAGCTGCTGCTATATTTCTCTATTTTTATTTACTTGATTGATATTCATGTTTCTTGAATACACCATGTTTACTCTAGGATCTGTACATACGACCATGTTTACACTAGGATCTTGTGAAAATATCATGTTTACCCTTTGGTTCTTTGTTGTCAAATTAAGTAAAGTTTCTAATTCATTGGTATTGATATACTAGCTCATGCGTATTTCTTTGCTTCTTTGTTTCATTATTTATTTAGTTTCAAGGTTATTTTTATTGTTCCTTCAGGATGAGTGGTAGCTTTGTAATTTTGCATTATTAATAAAATTCTTGTTTCTTATAAAGAAATATTTTTCGTAGTTCCATTTTTCATATGCATCTTTTTTCGGAGATGTGTTCTCTTTATTTTTATTGATTTTTGGTGTCTCTAATTCTATTTTGTTTACCTTGACACAGTTATGTTAGATTATGGGCTTTAACTGGTGAAGTATTGATGGAGATGGTTGGTCATACTTCTATTGTCTATTCAGTGGACTCACATGTGTCTGGACTCATACTCAGTGGTAGTGAAGATCGATTTGCAAAGATATGGAAAGGTGAATGCTCTCTACCCAGCGAGTAGATTGCTCCTAGTTTCCATGCTTCTTTCTTGGGTTGCTACATGAGTTGGATTATTCACACGCAATTCTTTTTTTTGCCGTCATGATAATTTGACCAGGTTTTTCTCGACTTAGGTTGGGATCTTGAACACTAAGTTAATCACGTAAATATATCTAAATCTTCTCAGTGGAGTTTGTAAAAATCACCTGGTTTTGCTCCCAGTTTTTTTTTGCCCTTGCTTTTTTCCTCATTGGTAAGAGAGTATTGCTGTTTGTTTCCACTTTGATGACTTTTTTTCTTTTTTTTTTTTAATGAATCAGTTCTTGTTTTACCCTTTTTTTCTTTCATTTTTTTTATTGGGTACAGGTCTTTTCCTTTTGTTCATCTGTACCCACTAAATTTCTTCATAATAAAATGCCTGAAATGCTGATGGGCAATGTTGTGATCAGTTTTGGGGGTGTGGGCACCTCTTTCGGTTAACAAAGGCTAAACTGTATAGTTTTGGTTCTTACATCATATTCTGTTATGCTTTCTCTAAATGTTACTTTACAAGAGAAATAATGTCATATTCCAGATGGGGTTTGTGTTCAGAGCATCGAACATCCTGGTTGTGTTTGGGATGCCAAGTTCTTGGAAAACGGAGATATTGTGACGGCATGTTCAGATGGAGTTGTACGTATTTGGACAGTGCAGCAGGATAAGATTGCTGATCCACTTGATGTCGAGTCATATGCGTCCCAACTTTCTCAATACAAGTTGAGCAGGTATGAAGATTAACCATCCATTGCTAGTATCCAGTATTATTTTATTGTCAAGTTCTTTACTTGCCTATTTATACAAATTGTAAGTTTTGAAGGGAAAAACTATTCTATTATTATTGATTTAATTGGTAAAAAATAGGTACAAATAGCCCTAGGAGTGCCACGGATAAAAGCCTATCCACTCAATAATATCTATCCTAATAACATTCAAATTCAAACTTATCTAATCCTAGGATAACGAATCTGTTTGAAATAGATTTGTTTTATTTGACTTTAAGCATATCCTAATCTAAAACTTATCTTAATCAACCCTAACTAATTATCTCTTATCTTTTCGACACTCCCCCTCAAGTTGGTGCATAGATGTCAATCATGCCCAACTTGCCTATTAGAAATTCGTGCTTCGGTCTGTGGAGTCCTTTCGTTAGGATATCTGCAATTTGTTGTGTTGTCGGGACAAATGGTAAGCATATGCTGCCTGTCTCAAGCTTCCCTTTTATAAAGTGTCGGTCTATTTCCACACCAATGTGCAATACCCATAGGTAGATTGCCTATCAATTATTGAACCAGCCTAATTAGCATAAGTATAGGCTTCAATCCCCCGTTGTTCATTCTTCTTAAAGAATAATCCTTTTCCTGAAGTACTCTTTAAGTACCTCAGGATTTTGTATACGGCTTCTAGATGTTCTTCATATGGAGAATGCATGAATTGGCTCACTACACTTACTGCGAAGGCTATGTCTGGACGCGCATGTGACAAATAAATCAGCTTACCGACCAACTTCTGGTATCTAGTTGTGTCAACAGGAACCTTCTGATAGCAACTTGTTAGTTTGTTAGAGAAGTTAGTAGTTAGTTAGAAAGAATGTTATTAGTTAGTTACTGTAGACTTTAGTTGGTTAGGGAATTAGTTAGAGAAAGCAGGAGATATTAAAAGGGGGGTTCGGGAACTAAGAGAGGGGAGGAAAATACTGGAGTCTTGTACAGGAAGTCTTGGCTAAGGCTGAGCAGGGGAGATTTAGCAGTATCTCGAAAGACTGCTTTTGTAATTCATTTTCGTTAGTCAACAAAGATCATATTTCGTTCTTCTGATTCTTTCTGGTTGTAGTCAATATTATGTTCTTATCAATTTGGTATCAGAGCATTGATTCTGGGCTACAATGGCGGTTAGGAAAACAGATGAAAGGTTCGAACTGGTGGAGAAGGAGATCAAGGAAGTTAGGGTTTCGATGGAAAAGGGAATTGGTGAGATGGAGAAAGGGCTCGGGGAGGTTAGGGCGGAATTATCACAAAATAGGACGGATCTGACTGAGATTCGCCGTCTGATGGAAGGGCAAATGCAGCTTCTGTTGGCGATGGGGAAAGTGAAGATGCCGGCAAAGGAAATCGGCCCAAGCGTCGCCAGAAATCGGGATGGGGAATTTGGTTCGGGTCAAGTTGCAGGCCGTGGGTCGTTGGCCGGAGTTGAGGAAATTGGGCGTGAAGGAAGGATTCTGGCCGATCACAGGGTTTCCAGCGAAGATTGCCGGGTGGTGTTGGGGGTTGTCGGCGGCCGGGTTGGGTTGAACGGAGGGGGAATCGACCATGGAAAAGGGCCGGCGGTGGAACCTAGGGATTTTGGAGGGGCTCGACGCGAATCAAACCTGAACGGAGATCCTTGGGCAACGTTTGGCGGTGGAATAAGTTCCGATTTCGGCAATTTGGGGGCTGGGTCTCGCAATTTTTGGTCTGGGTCTTGGAATTCAAGAGTCGTTAAGGCTGATTTTGGAGCAATTTTGACTGGGTCTTCGCCTTCTGGCATGGTTGGAACTAGGTTAGCGTTTTTGAGCGTGAATTCAGGCAAGATTTTGGCTGGGTTCCGAAATTCTGGCTGAATTTGGATTGGATGCCGAGATTCTGGCGCAATTGGGGCTAATTTCCACGCAATTGGGGTTGGGCCTCGCAACACCAACGTGTTTGGGGCTGGAATAGGGAATTTAGGCGTGAATTCTGGTGAAATTAGGACTGTGTCTTGGTCTGCCTGTGCGGATAGGGCAACTTCACAAGGTTGGGGCTGGACTTCCTAATTCCAGCAAGATTGAGGCTAATTTTGGTGCAATTGGAATTCACCCTCAAAATTTCAGCGAGTTTGGGGCAGGGTATGCAGAAATTGGTGTGCCTAGAGTTCAAATTAGGAAGTTTGCAAATGGCAGACTTGAAATTGGTGGGTTTGCAACTCCAAAACCCAACCTTTCTCTTGTTCACTGCTTTAGGACCCATTGTTGTTGGGATCGTTGCTGCCGAGTTCATGGTTCCAAGCCTCTCTGTTGTAGCCTTCGTCACCGTCCACTATCTCACTATCTCACATTAAACTAGAATGCTACTACAAAATGAAAGGGGAAAAAAAAGTCAAGAGAAGGGATTTGATGTCTCACTTGAAAGGTTGGCCGTCGGCTTGCTGTGAAGTCCTCTACGGTGCGGCCGCGGCTGGTTGGAGCAGAGGAAGCCGTGAGGGAACCTTCTGAAGAAGAAGGAGGCACGGCTTCAGGAAAGAAGAAGAAGAGTTGGTTCTGCCGTTATGGTTGATGGAGCAGAGGAACCCGCGATGAGAGGTGCGAAGAAGAAGGAGGCATTGCGAGGAGGGAGAGGTGCGAAGAAGAAGGAGGCAGAGAGGCTGGTTCGGTTTTTGTTACCCTGGTATTTGGGCCTTTGGGGCCGGCGGCCCACTTCATTTAGGCTTAAAAAAGCCCACAGAAACCCTACATTACTAAGGCGGACGCCTCACTAACCGCATGAGGCGCTGCTCAAAGGTGTGCGCCTCAAGTGGCTGAGGCGCACGCCTCAACACCTACCCTGTAAGGCGTAGGAGTTGAGGCGCTTTTCCAGCGCCTCGCCACGAGGCGCGCCTCAAGGCGTGCGCCTCTGGTGCTTTTTAAAACCTTGCTGTGGGCTTCGTTTTTGCCGTGGGCTGAATACTGGTTCAACACAACCTTTAATGCCTCGTTCAAATTCACCCCCTTTCGCATTGTCTATGGCCGTGATCCACCCACCCTTTTTCGCTTTCAGGACTCTCCCAGCACGGTGGCTGCAGTGGAGGACCAGTTGGCTCTTCGCAATGAAATATTGGACTTGTTGAAATCTCATCTCTTGCTAGCCCAGCAGCGTATGAAGAAATTTTCAGATAGCCGATGCCGGGAACTGAATTTCGACATCGGGGAGCTGGTTTTGCTTAAACTGTGGCCCTACCGTCTGAAGTCCCTTGCTCGACACAAGAATGAGAAGCTCGCTCCGCGTTTCTATGGACCATTTGAAGTTTTGGCTAGGATTGGTCCCGTAGCTTACCGTTTGCGCCTGCCGGATACCGCTCGCATCCACTTGGTTTTTCATGTCTCTTAGTTGAAACCTTTTAAGGGGGCGGCCTCCAAGGTGCAGCCTTTATTGGAGCAGTTTTCCGAAGACTTGGAATTGTGCGTCCAACCGGAGGAAGTTTTGGCGTCTCGGGTGGTCGTGGTGGGTGGCCGCGAGGAGCACCTGGGTGGCCGCGAGGAGCAGCAGGTGCTCATTAAGTGGCAGCCGGCAGGGCCTACCCGAGTTGGAGTCTACTTGGGAACCGCTGGCTGCGATACACTTGCAATTTCCCACTTTCAACCTTGGGGACAAGGTTGTCCTCGAAGGGGGGGTATTGTTAGGCCTCCTGTTACGTTGGTCTATTCTCGGAGGAAGGGGCATAGGGCAATTGTACAAGACATGGGGGTAGGAAATGGAAATATGGGAAACATGGAAAAGGAGAGCTGATGTGGCAAGTTGGTTAGGAATTTGTTAGTTGGGGGCATATCTAGGGAAGGAGGGGGGATGAGAGAGGGTGTCTGTTGATTGGGAATTCTGTTAGCAGACCTTCGGAGGAAGGAGAACCTTAAATTCTCCATTGTTCTGGCTTTTCTTATGTTCTTACTTTTATGGCTGTAATTCCTCTCTTTAGAGAGACAGAAGAGTGATTAATAAAAGGAACTTGACCCATTTTTAAGTATATTTCTCTGAATCTGTTGTTCCGTTATTAGTCTGTGTAGGAGGTACCTAACATTGTAAAACTTTTTTAGGGCATTAGAGAATAGCAACTAGGATGTCCTAACCTTAAGTGCCATAGCATGACTTTTACTAGAACTAGAAATAGAATTGAAACAAGTGCCTTGGGCTTGTCTTGTCAAGGCCGATCCATCTTCAAAGAAATAGTCATCCTTTATGTTCAGCACTGCTAATCGTCTTCCCCGAGTTCAATTCCTGGAATTCACAATGAGACGGGAAAAGTGAGCTTGACAATTCATATCATGGATCAATTTACTGATTGATAAAAGGTTACATGACAATTTAGGGACATGCAAAACATCACGAAGGGTAATAGACGGTGAAATAACAATTGAACCTTTTCCAGCTATAGCTGAAAGAGATCCATCAGCTATTTTTACTTTTTGATTCCCTGCACATGGAGTATATGAGACAAATAGGTTTGCAGATCCTGTCATATGGTCAGTTGCCCCTGAATCTATGATCCATGGGTGATTGGAATTAGGACTGACACTTATTAGGGCAGGGGTGAGGTAGTTACCTTTCTGGGATAAAGAAAACGAGGGTGAGGGATTTACTGATAGATTGGAAGACTGAAGGAGTTTGTACAGAGTGTCTAATTGTTCCTTTGTGATTGAGAGCTTTTCTGAGGAAGACTGTTGCCCTTGACCTTCATTGGAAGCCTGGAATGCGCGGTTATCTCCCTTTTTCTTCCAGTTTGGAGGTTTTCCATGCAATTTTCAACACGTCTCCCGTGTATGCCATGCCTTCTTGCAGTGATCACACCAAGGTTTATTTGTTCGCCTTAAGTTCTGTGGAAACCGGTAGGTTTTGGAATACCTAGCCGTCAGTCTCATATATTTTTTATATGAGGTAATAAGCCTCTTTTATATACAATTAGGTTACAATTAGTTAGAGAAAAAATAGGAAACTAACTCCTAATTTACAGCTAGCTACAAATC